GGGGGGGGGGGGGGGGGGGGGGGGGGAGGAAGGGGGGCACTCGCCTGAACTAATAAATAAAGCTCTGTTGGAAAGAAAACAAAAACACACCAGTAGAAACCAGAACCAACCCACAATCATTGATGAACCAGCAGCAGCTCCAAGTTGCCACCGTGCAATATACAGGGGCAAGAGAGGAGGAACGGCAGAAGCTCCAAGTTGCCACCGTACAATTCTTGTGGCACTGAAACAGTCACCACTTCATTTCTAATCACAACATTACATATTACCGAAAGGGGAACTCGAGTCAGGAGACGGGACATTTGTATATCACATGGAATTGAGGGGCAACTGGGCAAGGCGAAGGGGGTTTAGCCGACAGCTTTGTTTCCTTGCTGTTAACACCTTCTTTCTTTCGCAACACTTGTGCACCTCCATATTCACCATCCATCTATCCATCATAATTGAAAATACTTGAAGTACTTGGTACAGGTCTCGCTCTCCATCTGTGCAGCGAGTAATTTTTGCATTTGCTTTGTACCAACCTGGTGATATACCTGACGTACGTTTCGCATCGTTTACATAGTACCGGTTCAGCAATCTCTCTACAGAAGCATTGGACGAGGCTTTAACTGTTCGTGTAGTGCTTTTTGACATTACCCCTAAACCACGATGAAATATCTCACTGGTTGAGCGACGATCAAATTATGTGGGAATTTTAGAAGGCACCGGATTCCAAGTGCAAAGCTCTCAGGAGAAGGCTGTTTAGCGCAAAACTAACAGATACGATTGCCAGGCACAGTCATTGCGAAAGTGTAGTATTAGTGATATTACTGAGGCCAATTGTGTTGCAGGCGATCCAAATGATCGGTCACTGCGAAGGCTGGAAGCCGATGTGCTAATCCCAAACCGAATGGATGAGCGCGTACGAAAGGTTGAATGTCGTGAGACGCTTGCAGGTTCGCCCTATTTTTTCCCTCCCTTTTACCTCCATGCAAAATGCTCATTAATTTTGTTTTGAATTTTTTTTCACGTTTTTACAGAGTTGACAAGATGCTTGAAAAAAGAAGGTGAAGTGGTCGGGTTGAGGAAATGTCAGCCGGAGTTGGCTCGCTACGATGAATGTCGACTTGCTAAGTAATAATTCATCATGTAATTGATAAGAATTTCTTAAGTAATTCAAATAAATTATAAGAACCTGTCTTTTATTCCCTTACTTTCAAAACCTTACTTCTTACATAAACACACATCATTAAAATTGAAATTACAATTGATGTTCTGAAAATAGGACATCTAACTCCATCATTAGCGGATGAGCCACGGTATCTTCCTGTCCCGAAAGCCAAGCGGCGAGGTATTTTTTTCGGGATGATTGAATCGGGGTGTATATCTCTCTGCTTATTAGTTAGGTGTAGGGGCTGCCAACTGCTTCCGTCTCACGAAACTGTGCTGAAGTGGGGCAAGATCGCTGATCGGATTATGAAAATGAATAAAATACTTATTTACATGACAGGATGTTACTTTTAGAGGGAAAAAAAGTGAGTAAATTTGTGCTATTTGTCTCTCTGTTTAGTTATCAAAAATATTTGCCAGAGTGTTTTATGGAATCTTTAATCCTTGTTCCACTTTTTAGATTTAACGATCCATGGTTTCGGCAAAAAATCACGGACGAATATGTGAAAGAACGAGCGGAATTTCGTCGAACAGGTAGGACAGCTGTGGAAAGGAAGTGGGACGAGTACTGCGACTACAAGAGAAAGAAGGGTGATTGGGCCAGTATCGGCGAGAATGCAAATGCTTGAAGTATAGTGGAAAATCATTTTTCTTCGTTTTTCTGAGATTTTAGGAACCGTGATTTCTTGTTAATGCAGCTTCTCTTTGGATACTTTCATTAATTCCCCGGTTTTTTGCCCAGATATATTTAATGTCTAACTAATATTCTTTCGTGTCGTGATGTCTTTATCAGCTTCCGTTCCATCCTGGTGCATCTTTCATGCCATTAGCGCACCCGGTAGTTTATCGATAAGTTAATTTGTTTAAAGCTAATGACTGGTATGACGATGACGGTGCTGGTGTTTGTCTTCTAGTGCTGTTATTTTCGTTCTTTCGGAAGGAATTTTTGGATTTTTGGGGTTTTTGCATTTACTCCTCCCGCTTTTATAATCCCTCAGCCCATCTTTTCGCCATTCTTTTACGCTCCTTTCTAAGGGCCTTAAGGGAAGGTAACTCAGTAGTTAATTATATAAGAAATTTCGAGAACTTCGCCTGTGTAGGACCTTGGTTCGCATGTGAAGTTGGCTACGTATCGTTCATTTTTTATTAGAAAGACCAACTTTTCCGTTTTTGGCTTAGTGCCAAATAGCACTGCATTCATGCTAATGGTTGACGGTTCGTCCCTTCCTGTGGGATAGTCAGTATCTCAAGAATTCGTTTATTCGCTTCAATAGTAAATTGGCTTTGGAGCATGCAGGACTTCGCCAAAAGTACTTTTCTAGGTGATCTTCAAAAGAGAGGATTACTTGCACCATGCTTGTGGTGGTTTCTGAAAAGCTTCGGCTATTCCTTTCGCCTTTCATAGCAGGTGAATTATGGATTTTTTTTTTAATTAATGCTTGACATTTCAGTATTATATTTCTTTCCATGTTTGGGGTCGTGTGAACGCAGGCAACAGGTGAATTTTTGCTCTTTTCAAGTGTAACGTTACGTGCTTTTACGACTAGATGCAAGCATGCAGTCAGATGACCGGCCAATTTTGGCCGTCGATGCTGAATTGAATTTGAAATTCAAGTGAGCGTTTTGTGAGGCGAAGGTGAAATCTCTGAAGTCGGTAAGATGCAAGATTCGGTTGAAAACTCCACCTTGCAGAAATTGAATCAGCAATTTGAATTAAGTCGAATCAGGAGAACCTTTTTAGAGACATCATGCAGCATATTAAGAACATATTAAGGACAGCATATTAGGTCTTGGTACTGTTGCTTTCAACGATGGTGATGAGACAACTGCAGCGGACAGAACTCTGCCTCAAAGAAGTAAAGCATTTTGAGGTGGATGTAAGCACTGACTTCAATTCGCTGTACAAACCGGAAGCATTCGGCCATCCGACACGAACATGTAAACAGTTTTGTTCGGAACTCTTGCATAGAAAGAAAATATCAAACGAGTCAGAGGTCGTCGGGTAGATGGTGCTGGCGATAAAGACCATGGTATTAGCAAGAGTGTTTTTAAGGACAACGATGATGGTCTTAGGAGTGATAGCGGCTGTGGTGGCGGAAATGTTCAGACACAAGGAGAGGGAAAATTTATGGATGAAAAACGAATTGCACTGGTTCTATTGTGATGGGAAATTGCCAGTAAAACAAAAAAGTGGGCCTAACTGATGCCTGTAGC